AGGTGGCAGGACTAATTCTATGCCTGTCTATTCATTTGTTGTGTGGCGGAATTGGGCCTGGAACTTGCTTTCATTATAACCCGGTAGCCAGGCTGTGGGGGTAACTTAACCACCCCCTGCCCCTAAGGACAGCTCCCATGATACAACAAAAGAACCTAAGAGTTGGGCCTCTTAAGTTGGCTGACGTAGCTCTTCAACGGGGGAGAGGTGGTTTCTCTGATATAAATTCCCTCTACTTGACAGATTTCCCCAGAAGCAGCCCCAAGCTTCCTAAGGATTAACCCCAAGTAATTTCCCAACAAGAAAGCTCCATTTCTAGACATACAGCCTGGCGGGACGTGGATATTATTCCACTGTGGGATTAGGGTCATTCCGCTTTTCCAGAACTCAGCCCCATTGCAGCTCCCCTCTGTCCCCTGGCTTTTCAGCACGTACCTGTCGACTGTGGCCAGGGGCAGTGCCCCGTGAGCAAGGTGTCGTCTGAGCACGTGCGTGAACACCCCTTTGCTTTCCCTGGCCTGGCGGTAGGTACTCCAGAAAATTCCACTCAGAAGGATCACAAACCCCAGGGGCAGAAGCATATAGGCCAGGATCAGGTTCCCTTGACAGTTGAACATCGATCCTGAGGAAATGAGGAAGGCTCCCAGGCAGATCATCAGGAAGCCCGTCAGGAGGACAAGGGCACAGAGCACTAGACCGGTTCTGTTCTGCATCCCTGCCCCTCCGTAGCCCTTCCTCGCCCCTGCTTCCCTTGCTCCTCGAGAATGCTTTCATTAGCCAGCTCGAAGCTTTATATGCTCTGGGACCAAGTGGCCTTTGGACAATTAAGTGAAGTAGGCACTTAGAAGCTATTCATTAACCATTGAAAGTAACCGTAATATCCTTGGAGGATTAACCTAAAAACACAGCATTGTGTAATGCAGGAAGGCGTGGCTTCTCACTGCTGTGTTGCTCTTCCGAGCTGGACCCTCGGCCAACCCCAGTTGTTTGAGGGAAGGTCTCCTTTGATTAAAAGGGCACGGATCTCTTAATCCCCCTGGTGGGTAATTCTCCACTAATGCTCGAGAAATTAGCATTCCTTGATGAACTATCTTTGTGGTTTGGCAGGGGATCCTTCCCTGATTTCTTCTCTCTCTCTCTCTGTACTAAAAAGACATTTTTAAAGCTCTTAACAAGTATGTCTTGCCTCTCTCAATGGAACTCCCTTTATTGCCTTCGCCCTATGTTACTGGGAAAAATTCCAGGAGAAAATCCCATGGGGATGAACTCCCTGATTCCTTCTCTGTGGATAAGAAAATGAGCATCCACAGGGGGAGGAAAGGGAATCCTGAGAGGATTGTAATCGGCGGAGCTTTGGGAGTTTGGGGGGTAGTTTCCGGGGATGGTTGGAAAAGGTGATGATCTGGTGACTTCTCTGATTCTGGTTTTGTATCTTTCCCACCGTTGGACCCAAACGCTGAGGTCGTGGGGTCACTGCTGGTTAACACGCAGGTGTTTGAGAAAAAAAATGTTTGCTTATTGCTCAACTGCTGGCAACCATGCTTGGCTTAACTTTCCTGCTCTTGCAAGAGGCCACAGGTATTTAATAAAAGAGTATGCCCTAAAATGTGCAGCATGTCTCCGCCACCGCACCAAACAGACAGACACGTGTGAGAAGCGGTGTCTGTTCAATCCACACCCTCCCTTACGTACACCTTAGGGTGTCACAAAGCATAGTAAAGCCTCTGAAAAGTCCTGCAGTCTTTCTTCCCCTCTGAAGATACATATGAAATGAAATTTGTTTTGGTAGCTGCTGTGCAAAAAAAATGTTCCGTGTCCTCTCCCCTCTACCTTGCTCTAGGTAGCTTTGCCTCAAAAAGGGTTTACGGAACCAGCCTTCTGTTTTCTGTCTGGGGCTCGCTTCTTCTGTCTTGACCTTCTTTGGTCACAGACACCCTGTTCTAGATCTGGCGCGTGCTCCGATTCCTTCCAATTTTATTTGATGGTTTGGCATGTCCCTGCCGAGAGTCTCCTGCCCACCGGGACTCTGGGTCACATTTGTGCAGAGAGATTGTCTTCAGTCCCTCCCCGCTGCTCCTCTACCCTGCTCCTCTGTTACGATTACTTTCCATTTACTTTCCCAATGGGAAAAGGAATTCTTTGTGCTGTGCCCCGTAGTTCCCTGCACATCCTTTAGCCGAATACCCATCATCTCATGTTACGGGCTAAAAGAGAGAAAGACACGGGATCAAAAATGATATAAGACGCTTCCCTATTCTGCCTCCTAACCTCTACCCTTATTAGGTTTAATATTTGCCCCATCTACTTTCTTCTTCTAGTGTTGCTATTATCCTTACAGTCTGAAAACAACCCTTTTGTTCTCCCTTCTTCCCCAATTGGTCTTGAGGTTTTCAGATTTCCAAGATGGCCCCTGCTGATCCCCGCCTTCTGTTATCTGTGTCCCCTTGAGTGTGGGCTGGACATACTGAGGGTAGGCTGGACACAGTGACTTGATTCTAACCAGTAGAATATGGTTGGGGCGCCTGGGTGGCTCAGTGGGTTAAGCACCCGGCTTCGGCTCAGATCACGATCTCGCGGTTCCTGGGTTCGAACCCCACGTCAGGCTCTGTGCTGCCAGCTCAGAGCCTGCAGTCTGCGTCAGATTCTGTGTCTCCCCCTCTCTCTGCCTCTCCCCTGATGGCGCTCTGTCTCTTTCTCTCAAAAATAAATAAAGGCATTAAAAATTTTTTTAAAAAATAGAATATGGCTGGCTGTCACTTCTGAAATTAGGTTGCAAAAGATGGTAACTTCATCTTTTTTTTTTTTAATGTTTATTTATTTCTGAGTCAGAGAGAGACAGAACATGAGCAGGGGAGGGGCAGAGAGAGAGGGAGACACAGAATCCGAAGCAGGCTCCGGGCTCTGAGCTGTCAGCACAGGGCCTGATGTGGGGCTCAAACTCACGAGCCGTGAGATCATGACCTGAGCTGAAGTCCGTCACCCAACCGACTGAGCCACCAAGGCTCCCCACTAGCTTTGTCTTGCTAGCAGACTTTCTATTGTCCTCGTGGCTTATACCCTTTGAAGAAGGGCATGGCTCTATTGGAGAGGCCCGTATGACGAGGAACTGAGGGCAGCTTGTGGCCAACAGTCAGGGAGAAACTGCGTCCTGCCGATGATCATGGGAACTTGAAATCAAATCCTTGCCCAGCTGAGCCTTGAGATGACTATATCCTAAGTAACACCTAGTTTGAGAGGCCGCAAAGCTAAGGACCCAGCTTTGTCACACCCAGCTTCCTGCCCCACAGAAACTGTGAGGTGATAAGCGTGTGTTGTTTTAAGTTGCTGAGTTTTGTGGCAATTTGTTAGGCAGCAATATATAACTAAGACAGCTCTTTGGGGACAGCCCTTTGTCTCAAAGGGGACAAGCGGGGTTAAGTGTTTACACGGTGTCTGCACACAGAACCCACCCCGTGAAGGTAGGCTGTGATCACGCTCACCGTTTTTGTTAACATCATCAATACTGTGATTATTGGTGGTGAAATTGGGTAGGAAGGGGCTAGATCCAGGAGACAGCAGGAGGAGGAAAGGAGTCACTTACTTGATCAAAAATAAAGGGCACGACCTTGGGCTCAGAAGAGTTGAGGAGTTTCTCCGTGGGGAGGTGGGGCATCAAGAAGAAAGACCAGGAGTATCTGTAGTTTGTGAAGAAAGTAGAGAGAAAGAGAAAAAAGTCAATATGGAAACATGAAGCATTGCTGGGAACCATGTGTCTCCCTCACGACGGTTGAGACGTCCTCCCGTAAGCTTTAGGCGGAAGTTATTTTTGTCTATTTGTGTTTACTATTATTAAAGATATAAATTATTAAATTATATATATAGAGAGAATCACAATAATATATATATTTATATATATATAAAAAAACTGTGATTCTGCTTCAGTTCTGAACCACATGCATGACTGCTCTCTGAGCATGATTCTCCTTTAATGCCTCAAAAATGGTGATGGTGAAATAGCACAGACATTGAGAGAAAGCACCCTGCTCTCCGTCAGTCTGGAAGATGCAAAACCTCAAGCAGAAGGGAGGTTGTGATGACAGAAGAGAAAACACAGGCCGAATCCTCAGGGCTGGAGAGAATTTTTAAAAATCCAATAAAGAGCCCAATACCAAAACATCACCTGAAAGATTCAGTTTCAGGAGCTCTCTGAGCCTCTGGCTGGCTTCCTTATGCTCTGTCCTGTCTCCTAGGTCTGCTTTGACCTCCCAGGCCAATGTTCCTGATCTTGTCCACCTCGCCAATCACCCAGCACTAAGTGTGAGAAGGAGGGGCCAAAAATATCGACTCCATTTAAAGGGAGAGAGACTGAGACACAGATTTCTGAGTCACCCGAGTGGATACAGATGGCTTGGGACTGATGGGAAGAAGAATACACCAGAGGAATATGGGTAGAAGCCCATCTCTGTGAGAGATGTTCTGGGACCCAGTAGAAGCCAAGCCATAGTCCTTCTGTCCCGAGTCCCCTTCAAGAGATCCATCCAGGGAGCGCCTGGGTGGCTCAGCCAGTTACGCGTCTGACTCTCGATTTCGGCTCAGGTCATGATCTCATGGTTGTGGGATCAAGCCCTGTGTCAGGCTCCATGCTGAGCCTGTTCAAGATTCTCTCTCTCTCTCTCTCTCTCTCAAAAAGGAGATCCATCTAGAAAATGTCTTGCTTTTAAACCAGTTTATTTATTCATTATTATAATTCTTAAAAATTCACTCGTCAGCAAAAGCTCCTGACTTGGCAATGGACAGTAAGACGTTATTTGGCCGCCAGCCAAACCATCTTAAAACATAATCACTCTTTCAACACTGTTCCTTTGAGCATGACTGACCCATGAGCACTTCTGAACATTGAGTGCGGCTGAGGTCCAAGCGCTGTTTTGCCTCCCATGTCAGAGCCCCCTGAACCCTCATCCTTCTTTCGGACTCTCCTGTGTAATATGTAGATTTTGTGCAGCTTCTAACAGCTCTCTGCACTCCGGCCTTTGTTTACCGTGCACATGGGCCAGCGCCCTTCTCTCAAAAACAGGAAAATTGTATTGTTTTGGATGAGAGGCTAATGGGGACTTTGGAAGGAAGCTAGCTAAGGGTGTGTAGGAGCTGCTGCACAGGAGGGGTCAAGAGCTGGGGGAGAGTGGCCAGATTTCAGAAGGTCACTTTGGTTTAGGAAGTGAAGCTTTGTGGGAGGGGGGAAAGGTGAGCATATGCGTAGCCAGCCATGTCAGCCCGGTCCGATTTCATGGTGGTGATTACTGAGTGATTTCTGGATTAGCCTTTCACACGTGCAGGTTCATTGAGCACTGGCCACTTCCTTCTCCTTGTTTTCTTTGCTTTTGAAACTTTTGCCCCACTCACTCAGGAAGATTTGCATGCAGACATTTTTAGGTTGGCAGGGAACGACAGCTTCTCAGAAAATGTGTGGCACCGTGCGGTAAGGTGATATTAGACCGAGGCACAAGGCTCGCATTCACCTTGGGATGAACCTAGTGAGCACGAAGTACAGAGAATGCCCAGCAAGGCCAGGACCGGTGAGACCTGTGAGTTATTCGTTTAGGGTACAAAACTTCTGGGGTGCCAAAACGCTTAGGAATCAAGATAAATCGTATTCTTGAACAGTATTTTAAAAACTCAAATTGACAAACTGTGACCCATGAGCTGGCCACCTGTTTCTCTGAATGAAGTTTTGGTGAGAAAATTGAGTCATGTCTATGGACCAAGGAAGAAGACAAATTCTGTTCTAGAAAGGGCTCAGCTTCCAACTTAATCCAGAAATAAGCCAGAAAAGATTTATTTTCTTTGTGGATCTGTGGAAAACTGAAAAGAGACCCTACTTCTGTGACCATTTAGAATCAGAGCAGAAGGCGAAGGCAGGGCAGAATTGGACGGCCTGCTTTTACACCAGTTGGCATGATGGTCAATTACTTGTAAATATAATGTGGGTTCTGTGTCCCACCTTACGAAATTCTCTTTCATGTTGATCTTCTCTTGAAAATTTTTTAATGTCTATTTATTTTGAGAGAGAGAGAGAGAGAAGAGACTGAGTGTGAGCAGGGGAGGGGCAGAGAGAGAGGGAGACACAGAATCCGAAGCAGGCTCCAGGCTCTGAGCTGTCAGCACAGAGCCCCGTGCGGGGCTCAAACTCACGAACTGTGAGATCACGACCTGAGCCGAAGTCGGACGCTTAACCGACTGAGCCACCAGATGCCCCATGATCTTCTTTTGCAAACAGTGACAACCCAGCAGCCATGAGCATCCACGGTGCTCTGATTATTGTCTCTATGTACCATCCCACCAAATAACCCAACTATGTTGGGAGAAGTGGCTGATTCTGGGGCTCAGGCAGAAGCTCCAGGAGATGTAATGTGAAAGTGGAAAGCAAGGAAGTGAACGAACACGCCAAGAGTTAGGCCTAATGGGTATGGGAGCCCCCCTGAAGAGGTCTCCGCTAGCTCAGGGTTTCTTATCCTCAGCACTATTTACATTCGGAGCCAAAAAATCCTCTGCAACAGGGACTCTTCTGTGCATCGTGCAGTGGTAACCCTATCCACTAGATATCCAGTCACGGAAATCAGCAATATCTACAGACACTGCTAAATGTCCCCTGGGGATCAAAACTGCCCTTGGCTAGGGGCGCCTGGGTGGCGCAGTCGGTTAAGCGTCCGACTTCAGCCAGGTCATGATCTCGCGGTCCGTGAGTTCGAGCCCCGCGTCGGGCTCTGGGCTGATGGCTCAGAGCCTGGAGCCTGTTTCCGATTCTGTGTCTCCCTCTCTCTCTGCCCCTCGCCCGTTCATGCTCTGTCTCTCTCTGTCCCAAAAATAAATAAACGTTGAAAAAAAAAATTAAAAAAAAACTGCCCTTGGCTGAGAACGATTGCACTAGCCCAAGATGGGACAATCTGAGCACCAACATTTCAGAAACGGAAGTAAATTGAAACACAATACATAAAAATCCACAAGTTTATAATATCTCTTCAGTACTAAACAACAGTCACCTCTGATTTTTGTTATGTCGTCCTATCTATTCTCTTTGTTCCTTCCCTTACAAACTCTTTAGATAGATGTGGGAGCTTCTGGAAATTTCTTTATCCCTGCCTTGTGTTCTGGAAGCGTCCCTTAGCCAAATGTTCCGGCTCATTAATTTAATATTCATCTGTGCCCGTTTAGATACTCAGCTCAATTTTTAAGGAATGGTGATTATATTTTTAATAATCCAGAAGTCTGATTATCTCTTTCACACGGCTGCTTTTCTGTTTTATGGCTGCAATAATCATCCCAGCGAATAAAGTGCTGATGATCGGGGCCAGCTTTTAGGGTGTGCAGGTAGATGATCTTGGTGTGGGAGGTTCCTCTCTACAGCATATGAGATCTGGAAACCTCTCATATCAGAAGCATCTGGTGCTTTCCTCTTCTTGTCACCTCTTCCCACCCTGTTCCTATTATTGTATATGTAGATTTATCAAGTTCTACTCTCATTCTATGTCCAGAGTCAGCCCTTCTGATAGGCTAGTCCCCAGGTTCTCTTCCTTCCTTCCTTTCCTTCCTTTTCTTCCTTTCCTTTCTGACTTTAAAAAATTTTTTTCCATTTATTTATTTTTTGAGAGACATAGAGAGACAGAGCACAAGTTGGGGAGAGGCACAGAGAGAAGGGGACACAGAATCCGAAGCAGGGTCCAGGCTCCAAGCTGTCAGCACAGAGCCCGGCGTGGGGCTCGAACTCACAAACCGTGAGGTCATGACCTGAGCCGAAGTCGGACGCTTAACCGACTGAGCCACCCAGGTGCCCCGTTTCCTTACTTTTTTAGAGAGAGAATGCACAGGCAGGGGAGAAGGGCAGAGGGAGAGAGAGAGAGAGAGAGAGAGAGAGAGAGAGAGAGAGAGAATCCCAAGCAGGCTCCACACTCAGCTTGAAACCTAACATGGAGCTCGACCCCATGATCCTGGGATGGTGAACTGAGCTAAAATCGAGAGTCACTCAACCAACTGAACCACCCAGGCACCCCCAGGCTCACTGTCTAAAACAGTTACAAGGCTTTAACATGGAAGCAAACACCCCTGTTGTCAGAACGTCAGCATATGAAGGACATGGTCAGATCATGACCGGCTCCTGAGTTCATAATGCAATCTTTTAATTTACTGACCAGCTTATGATTGACAAGGACCCGCCCTACATGCTACAGGTTAACCTTGATCTTGAAGTTCCTCCAGTTAGTGTACAAATAGCTCTTACCTTTGCGGTATCCTTTGGCTTTTTAAAAAGTCTTTATTGCTCTGTCAATCCAATTTTCTTCATTTCATTTTCTAGGAAATCCTCACATTTTCTGATCTTCCATTCTAACTCTTCTTGTGTGACGTTTCAGTAGAATTTGGGGAGGGACAAAAAGCATACAGATGTTCTCAGCCTGCCAATCTGACCCTACCGTTTTTCAGAGTATACGATGACGTGAGTGGGCATTATTTACACAATTAGGATAAAACCATATATGTGATTTTGTATTTCACTGTCTTCACTAGAACAACATGTGCTTTTTGAAAACATTATTTTTATGATTGCACACTCAAGGATGAGCCTTTATAGACCATCCAGTTGGAGTATAATTGCTAATTTTCTTTTATTTCTTCAGCACTGAATAATAAGGTCCTTGAGGACAGAGAAATATGTCATCCTGAAGACTAAAATGTCTGCCATGTGGCAGCTCAATAAGTGATCCTGACTCACTCTGATTTTTTTTTTTTTTTCAGCTGAGTCATCAGAATCAAGGCAAAGACTTGGGATAGGAGATGGAGGGGCACGCAGGAAAGAAGGTTCATTTGGGAGCAGAGAAGACCAATCTAGGCATTCCTGTCTTCTGACTTGATTTCCCCTCTTCTACTTTTTGGTGCTATTGCAGAAGTGGATCCTTAGTCGGGCTGGGAAATACGGATGTTCAGATTTTCCTTCCTCTTATTAAAGCCCTAGAAATAGGAAGGTGCCCTTGGCACACCATGTTTCTTTCGGCACACATCAAAATACGCATAAAGTATTTCAGAGGGGATGTGTTTCTACATTACAGGTGTATGAAAAAGTCTAAAGATGGTGTTCATCTACCCAGGTTGCTATTTACTGCCTCAGAAGGATGAGTCATTCTCTGTTTACACTGAGGGACTGAAGTTATGTCTGTTTGCAGCCAGCAGTGTAACCAAGTCGTGAGGATGCCATGACAGTAACTGTGAGCTATCCTGGGATTGTGACATGCACAGTGTTAGAAACCTTTATTTCAGTGTATTGGGATGAATAGTTCAGTACGCTTGACCAAGTGTTGGAAATCAAGATTAAAAAGCAAAAGGCAACAATTACTCTGGGTTCATCATCAAACCCAGGACGATTTTTCAAACTTTATAAATATAGAGATTCTTAAAAGCAGATGATTCCCATTTCCTATCCACACACACACACACACACACACACACACACAAAACCTGGAAGACAAATCCAGGGTCTTATTTTTTTTCCTCTTTCTTTTTATCAGTGCCTCTATTTCTTTAAAATGAGTCACTGGTGTGTAGCACAGGGGAAAAATGAATAATTCCTTAAAAATAGTCCTATTTTCCAATGAGAAGCTGAGATTTAGACATAAATTACTATCTCAAAACATAGAGTAGTCTCACAGGCTTTTAAAAACAGTCAATAAGGGCCCAAATTTGTTCATATTTTGAAAGATGTATGGAAGAAGGACGGAAGGGACATTTTGCCACTGACCTGCGGGACGGGAATAATTCAGGTGAAATTGAAATCTGTATGATTTCTAACATTTCTCGCTTTTCACATGGCCTGACTTGAAAAACTTATCTAAAAAAACCTGTCATTATCACGTATTGAGTTCCGTGTGCCAGGTACCATTGGTTTGCTTTCTTTAATTCTCACAACACTGTGAGATAAATATAAGCTCCAACTGGGACTGGAGGATGCTGAGTTCTGGGAGGAGCAGCGACCGAGGTCACTTTACAGCCAGTCGGCAAACCGACGGCTAACTATCCAGTCTTCATCTTACCTCACAGTGCCTCTCTTGACAGCTGACTTTAAGGCTGGAAATTTTACTTGATTAGCTTACAACAGATAAAATTACTAATTGCTGTTTCCAGTGGATGTCAGAAAATTGTAGACTTGCAGTATTTCTTCATCACCTACCGTTTACAAATATCTCACTCGGGACGGGCTAGGCTTTGCTTCAGAGCAACCAACCCTAGATGTCACTGAGTTTAAATAACAAAAGTGCATTTCTTCGTTCACTCAACATATCCGTCATGGGGCAGCTGGGGCTCTGTTATAAGTTGACATTACCCCAGCCGAGGGAGGAGCTATTGTCCAGAACATTAATGGTCACAATGGCCAAGAGAAAAGACCACACTGATTGTGATTAGAATTTCGGCCCAGAAGCGTCACGCACCATTTTACGTACGATTCATTGGTGGTGATTGGCTACACGTCCCTAATCAACCATAGGGGTCCAAGAAGTACAAACCGGTCAGGCCCAGAAGATTCTAATAGGCAGAAATATTTGGTGAGCAACACTAACTGTGTCTCACTGGGCACGCAGCTAGGTGCTGGGGGGAACACAAAACATAAGATGTGGTCTTTGTTCTTAGAGAGCTTACCGTTGAGGCAGGGGGGGGTGGGGTGGGGGGAAAGGAACCGTAATGCAGAGAAGCATAAGGGCCAGAGTAGTTGGAGCATCATGTTAGAGGAATACAGAGGAAAGAGTTCTTTTTTTTTTTTTTTTAATTTTTTTTTTCAACGTTTATT